CGATATGTCAGGGACGCAATCTGAATGGTTCGTCACTGTGCCGTTGTCGTATGCGCGATTTGTTCTATATATTTGCGTATCGATAGCTAATCAAAGAATCCTCACTAACTGTTGTCTCAAGCTGTGTTTTCTCTCCGCGTTATCGTTGGGGGTTAAGCAAGAGTCGCTCCTATCATTCGTACGTCTAGTCCGAACACAACAAAATCCTCCATTACTCTCATGAAAGAATCTCCTGGTTGAATTTCGCCTGTACACATGCATGGATTCACACACACACACACACACACACACACACACACACACACACACACACACACACACACACAAACAAACAAACACACAAGTGTGTTTTGTTCCCGTAATCTATGCGACCTTTGTCAATGTGCCCTTTCTGAGTTTTTTTCCCCACTGTTGGTCGTTCACCAATTTTTCGAAACATTCCAGTCGAATAAACAACTGAGTCAATTTGTTGCGATATACTTTTGTGCTCAACAGTAAAGGAATAGGTCCTGGGTTTATGAGCGATGATGACTGACAAAGGGCACTGGACAGCCGTTTCGTCCTTTTGGAGTGAACTCACACACCCAAGACCATTTGCAATAGTGCTTGGTGTCTGCAAAACAATCGAATGAATTATTCCAAATTGACTACTCTGAATTGGTAACGGGTCTAAAAACCGATGTGTGATGATGAAAACCCATGAGTGAAGTATGATTTATCACAGGATACACTGCCGTGTTCATATCTACTGACTGAAAGTGAAGGGACGAGGCGGCATGGTTAATGGTTGTTATAGAAAATGACTAATGGCTAAAAGGCAAAAGAATGATTCGCAATTTTAATCATGTGAAATGGTTTTAATTGATTCAGTCCGTGATATTTATTGATTTGAACTGGCTATCTTTCAGACTTCACCTTCACGCACAATCTTCAGTTTATCGATTCATCCATGCACTCCGAAGCACAAGATTCGAGTTTCGCTCTCAGTATAGCTCATCAGTAGTGCATATTCACCGTCCCGTCCAGGATTTGAACTCCGGACCCAATCGCATGGAAGGCATGTGCGTTACCACTGTGCCAACCAGCTCATGCCATGGCTGAACCAAATTGCCAAATTGCCACGTTTATCCGATGGTTAGTCAGTTCAAATAAGTAAATATCAGTTATCTCACATCATTGCTCACAAGTAGCTGTGAATTAAATGAGTCCATGGTGTTCAACTGTGCTCACCTTCAACTGATTACGATCCGTATTGATTCGTACAATCAACTGACTACGCTGTTCCTCCAGTTCCGGTCGTTCGATCCCAGTCACATCACCCAACAGTTGATCTTCTAAACCGGCCGGTGTCACGGTGAAATTTATCAATGTGACTTTGATCGACACTTCTGGTAAATAGTGTGGATTGGCCATTTTGGTGGTCATATACATACGGAAATTTTTGTCATAGTCCACATCAGAATCACCCAGTCGGATAAGCAAACGACCACCGGACACAAATGTCTGCCGTAACAATATCGGTTCCAAAGCCGGATCCAATGTCTCACCCAAATCTTCCAACAGGACGGGAAAACCGACTCGGATACAGTTTTCCAAAGTGCGTAACAGATTTGCATCGGTCAATTTGATCACACGGAGCTGATTCTCCGCTTCCATGCTTCGAATCCATCGATTGGCCTGTTCCTGCGGATCGATCATCAGAGGCCAACGTCTAGTCCGAGTGACCAAGATCGCATTGTCTGTGCTCACCTGATCCCGGGGCAAACCTTGGGTATTCCATTGACGTAATTCGAATGCATCACCAAGCACATGAAACAGACTGGGATCTTCACTGATTGGAATCTCCAATTCGCGACAACGTGCAATCCAGTGGCTGACCAACTGTTCCCGATAGTCTGCTGTGAACGCCCCGTAATAGGCCACACAGGCTGCGGCAACAAACACATCCCCGATCACATTCCCGATCTGTTGTTGGAATTGGGTGACCGAATTGCTCCATCGATCCTGTTCGTCGGCCAACGCGGTGGTCAGTTTCGCAGCACGTTTCAATCGAGCTGTGGTCAAAGCCAGACGATGTTCTAATTTTTTCTTCTCCGCCACAGACACATCATATTCGTTTTGGAGTTGGGCAATTTTGTTCTCGACCGCGGCCAATTCTGCTTGTTTTTCGCGCAATTTTAGCACGGTCGCATCCAAATCTGCATTGGCTGCTTCCAAACTGAATAAGATAACAGAATCACAATGAGAAAAGTAGGACTAGTTAAACATTTATCTTTCAATTCAAGCAGTGTTGAATATATTACGGTACAAAAATCTTACTTTTTTTGTGAATTGGGGTGGGGGAGCCCAAACACAAACAGACGATTATCTTAGGGGTTTCAATACCGGAGCCCTTGGTTGGTAAGACCAGCAAGATCAACAGTTAGGCGATGTGTAATTACCCCAGTCGACAGACGATTAGACAGTCCATTATGGTCCTAAATGTCCAATTAATCCCATTCTCCAGTCGATCCGATATATATATATATATATATATATATATATACGT